AGCAGATGCTAACCTTCGTCCCCAGGGCTCCCTAAAGGCGAAGGCTGTGGAAGTGGCCAGCTTTCTGCAGGTGTATTAGGGTGAGACCTCAGTAGCAAGCAAGACGAGAAGGTCCAAGCATGGCCCCAGCCCAGGCTGCAGTTTCTCCATCAATGCCAGCCTGCTCTCCCACTTACCACGGCCACACATGCCTGCCCCTTCCCCAGCTACAGGCCACCCTCTCGCTTCAGGCAAGAACTGATCCTTTCCCTGCAAGGCGAGTTTGCAGCACATCAGCTTCTTGAATCAGCTCACTTTGGGTCTGCAACAGTAGGAATGCCAGAGCAAGAGAGATGGCAGGAAAAAAGGATAGGTTCTTCTTGTTCAGTGAATGTCTTTGTTTGGGCACTGAGAAACACAAAGGAGCCTCTTTCCTTCACTGGTATCTTGCTACCATCACCAAGTCCGATATAGCACAGTGTGCTTACCGTACTCAGCTTTATAGAGGTCTATGTCTGCCTGCAGAGAAGTGACCCCCTGCAAAATGGCTGTTATCATCTTTCTGCACAATACAATCTTACTAGAATATCAAAATAGCGCACCACAGAACTTACACATAATGCAGACTTATACCTAAGAAACTGCCCACAGCCTTCCAGTTCTCTTGCTCATGGACATACGACTTCACGAATATTCTCTGTAAAAAGGCTGACTTTTATTGCTAAATATATTACATTCATTTAATGAACCCAACAATCATATAATGGCAGCCAACAACCCCCCAGGCTTCACACTGACCATCGAGAAGTTTCTCTTATGCCTGATGCTCTTCTAACAACATAACTTGTTTGGACACTAGCACTGCGTTCAGCTCGGTACGTGACGAGCAAGCTGCAGAGCAGCCAGAGGTCCTCCTGGGACTGTTCTGGGATGCTGTTGTGTTTCAGCCATGCAAGCCATAACTGATGCGGGTGCCTGTGTGCCCCCAGGGTTAAGCTGTCTCCAATGTTACCAACACTAGTAAACAGTGAGTGGCTTTTGCCAGCCACTGCTACAGGGACTGGGCACATGGGGGCACAAAGAGATGGGTGTGCAGTAGAAGGATCGAGCAATGGGCTTTATACAGCACAGAGGTGAAAAGGGTGATGATACGATGAGTTTGATGTGGATGGTGGCTACTGTGGAAGAAGACAGGGAAGTATGGGCCATGAAAAGAGACCTGAAGTCCTAATACTGAAAAAGGCCTTATTCCGAGTCTGAATGAAATGCAAGTCCACAGAAAAAACATCTTGCCATTCAAAGGTAGATAATGCCAAGCACTGAGAAACAAGCATCGTCATCCTTAAAATAAGGCCCTGAAGAGAACGGCGTTCTAAGAGACTCGGTAAATAAATTTAAAATGTTCACTATGCAAAATGTGCCCTCTCATTACACAAAAAGACACCTTAAAATCTATCTCTAGTAAGTGGGAGACAGTGAAATGCAGTTTCTACCAGCCCACATAAGAGCTGACTTGTGAGAGCACATCTGAGCCATCTACCTGTGCTGTTTGGATTCTTCTACAGAATCCTTTTCTCCAAGAAAGGAACAATAAACTTAATTGCTAATCTGATATAGAAACTGCAAAAAATGACATTTACTATAGAATTTCCTATAGCTTATACTGATGGTACTCTAGATTCTTGTAGCTTAATTTTTAAACTTCTGTTCTTCAGATTTATTAATTATGAATTTGAAAAATGCATTTCTACATTAAATTCAGACTAAATCTAACCATCTGATTCATTCAAAAAGTAAAAACAGTCTAAGGAAAGCAGACTCAAATTCTCAACTTTTGGACTCAATATGTTATTCTTTGAATAAATTACAAATATTTATTTACAAAAAGTATCTTGCAATATTTCCATACAAATCTAAGGAGAAGACTATTAATCACCCTACTCTTGGTGAGATCTATTTTATTCTCGTCATCTTATTGACCTCAGTGTGCTAAGTGAGCACTACTCACCTTGAGTAAGCACAGCCATTTTAGCAGTAATTTCAAAAAGAAGTAATGCAAATGATTAATGCAGTTGTTGGCTAATGCAGCATTGAGCACAAATACTTGAATATTTAAGAAAACATCAGAACCCAAATGAGATCAGTTAAAAAAAAATAAAAATATTATTCTTATTTTCCAGCTAGAGAATCCCAACTCTGATCCCATCTCCAACACATTACAGGAATACTTCCCAGAACTGCATGACATGCACGGTATCTTATTGACATGTGCAGAGCAGAAGTCTGTTTTGAGAGCTGCACAAAGGAGTATTTTGAGGTCTCTCAGTTTGGTGGGATGATTCAAAGGCCAGACTGTGACTCGGCTTTTTTGTCCCCTAGGAACAAGAGTGCATGCTCACTGAGAACACACCACCGACTGTATCATCCTGATTACAATAGTTGACAGGTACCTAAAAGGAACCAAACCCAGTGCCCATAAATTACCTGCCTCCTTAGCTGGTTGATGAACATGAAAATCCAAGCAGCATGCTAGGTGAACACCTCTGCAAGTGCTGTGTGACACTGAACTGAAATCCTGCCCAGCATGTCAAGAATGCTAGTTTGTTAAACATCTTAGATGATAGCAAAATCAGAGAAAATTGTCATCCCAGGTAGAATAACTGAATATATTTCATGGCATGGTATGGGCAATGGGTGCAGTTGGCAATCTATTAGAAAATGTTAATGCTCTGTGTAAGCCAAAACACAAATCAATAGAAAGGACTGGTTTTGGTGGGACTATAAAGCCCGGGAAGGATAAATGCTATTTACAGCTACTGTTTTAAAGTGCAAATTTACAGAAACATACATGGACAGCACCTCTACACTATAACCATTTGAGCAAAATATATACTGTAGGACCCAAACTTATTTGTCTTTTAAAACAGTATGTTAGACCTCTTTCTACTAGGTAAATGCCACGGCACAATTTATGGCTTACTTCTGCTCTTGGGTATGCAGACACAGCACCTATTCTCTGAAAAAACATGTTCCTGTGCATGCACATGCAGGCTTCCCAGCAGTTTCTCAAGCAAGGGGAAGTGTTTTCGTCTGCTCCACCCATAGCAGAGCTGAAGAAAGCCCTCAGTCTTTTGAACTCCCTACTGTCTTCTTATCAAATTGTTTGTTTTTCAGCTGGAAAGGGTATGTACAGATTTATGAACACAGCCTTCCAGACTGAAAGCAAAAAAAAAAAAAAATTGGCAACAAGTTTAAGTCAACCCAGATTAATTTATTGTATTTCCTTTTACTGTTTATTCAAATACAGAAGAAAGCCTGTCTATCAGCTAAAAGAATGTCAGAAATATCAATTATTCATATACTATTTCCATTTCTCTAAAACAGAATTTCATTTAAGGACTTCTAATTTCAGACTAGAAACATCTTTGCTGTTTCGAAATACTTTCAATATACTTCGATGTAGAGGAAAAAGAAAAAAAAGATTAAAATGTTATATTTAATTCCACAATATAGTAATTTTTATATTCTTAAGTGCTAGTTTTACTTAGTCTTAAAGTTACAGTAGTCTATTAAAAAAACAAAATGCCACAACTGATTTGATTTCTCCACCATGAAGTGACTTGTTTTTCTTCTGTCACAAACTGTGACTAGCTTGTTACAAAATATGTGTTGTCACAACACACGCTTATGTTCTTGGTATTTGATTAACATCAGTCCAAAAAGGTAACTAAACCATAAAATTCTCTTCCAGTCCTTGTGGGATCAGTGATTTGAATGAATATGCACTAAATATTTTAGAAGGAGGGCAGATAAGCAATGCTGTTTAGGTAACAGTATTATGCCCTGGTGGCTTCACACTTGTGGCAGAAAAACAGATTCAAACAAGCACTACAGTGTTACTGAGGTTACAAATGACCTGGAAAAATACAGTTTCTATGGATATCATTTAATGAAGACAAGCCTTGCATGTCACACATCAAATATAATGTTATTTTTATTTCTTTGCAGGTATTCAGATACACACCTTGTATTAAACAGATTTTGCATTTTTTTTATACCACAGAATTTTAAAATACTAGTCTTTTATGCAGAAGTTGTTAAATTATAGATAGTGGGATTATCAGAACCTTACTGCATATGTAGCCAAGTTGGATTTTTCCAGAGACATTGTGTTCTATCTTTTAAAAACAGTTAATTATGGAGATCTACCACTGTTAATACAAGCTTCTATAGAAAAGGAATATACTGTTCATGTATTTGAAATTAAAAAGCAAATTTCTGCTAGAGTTATCCCATGGCCTTACCTAATCTGAATATATCTGCAAGCACTAAGTTTTATTCAGAAATCTTTATTACATAATATTGCTAAAAATCCAAAGAGTGATTGATTTAAAGAGCAATGGAAATCAGGAACAGCAATACTGAAAAGACCAAGGAAGACTAAAATGCCATTTGTTTACATTCTGCAAAACCCAGCCTGAATTAGATAAACAGATGGATTCTTTCTGGATGGAAATATTGCATAAGATTCTGAAATTAAGCATAGAGGGTGGGAAGTGCAGCTATAAGCAACTGATGTTTTGCTTTTCATCACATTAAAATAAAGACTTTCAGACCTGAAGTATAATCATTATATTTTTGTCCTCGGTGCACAATTAATAAAAACCAACTTCTGAGCAATGCCACACCCTTGTGATTAAACAGCATTTTCAAAAATATGTAGATAAAGCCTGAACAAATCAAATAAACATGTAGGCAGGAAACGCTGTTTGGAATGCACTCCCTGCAATGTACTATTAGAGAGAGCCAGAAAGCAGGCTAACTTCAGAATTCAATCAAGCAAAATCTAGTATAATCTCATTACAGCCCTTGCACTTAATGAAACCTATTTAAATCTCTGACATTCTGATTTTTAGAGCTGATGAAAGCAAAAATTATTTGGTTTATATAACACAAACATACAGAAATATAAGATGTTATCCTTTAGGTTATCCTAGCTATTTACCAAGCAATGCGTAATATGAAAAGATTACTCTTCTGCTACTCACTATTGCTCCAGGATTTCAGTAAATATTTGATACTGATTTCAAAGAAGCCTGAATCCTGCTGGCTAGCCATGTCTGCTGCATACAAAGAGGCTTCTATAATTCTGAGCAGCTGAAGTGGCAGGTACTATGTATGTAGATGTGACTGTCACCAGTTAGTGATGTAAACGAGGGGTCAGAGGAGGAAATGAAGTCTCCGCAGATCCACTTCTTCCGTTCATGGTAGGTAAGCTCATTTAAAAAAAAAAAAAAGGCGCCCAACAACAACAACAAAAACACACCATGAGATTTTTGTCCTTTGCTCTTCCTCCGGGGCTCGTACTTAATTCTATCTGTGGAGTACTTTATTCCCTCACCCCCTCGGCATGTATTTTCATTTATTCCATTCCACAACTAGGCAAATTTCTCCCGGTCAGTTAAGGCATATGCAGTACCACAGCACTTGTTCCATAAGCACAGTTAGAGTATCTTCCCGAAGGGTGTCTGAGCTGTGCTTTTAATAACACGCAGTCTGCCTGTCTGAAGCTTTTTTTCCATCAGAAGCCGACAGCCCGAGCGTATGCACCTCCTCTGGCGAACCGAGTATCAACTTGAAGCCCCACTGAAACCGTCTCTTCTGCAGCTGGAGGAATTTCACACGTACTGTTTAGCTTTAGGAAAAAAAACACCCTCTAATGAATATCCTCTGCATGCTCTGGTCAGCTGCTCTCCTTCCGCCTGTTTCCAAGAAGAGCACGCTGAACTATACACAACTGCATCATGCTGCGGTAAAGCAGAGCTGCACCCATATATCTGATTGCAGTGACGTTGGAAAAAAAAAGGCTCTCCCTCAGCCCAGTTGCAGAAGAGAAGCACTTCCAGAGCGCTAAAAACACGGCGTTCAGACTGGCTGCTCCTGCTTTTCTTTCACTGCTACAGAAAAATGTGTTGTCATTTTTTTCTTGACTACTTTTTTTTCCCCCCTTAACGAAGATGAGGGACAGCAGGCTGAATTCATGATGGCAAATAAACCAGAGAGCTCACTGCTTGGTATTCACCTCCAAAAGAGCCACAGAAAATTGTCAGTTTGATGTCATTTTTATCTTGAATAATATTTTTTAAAAAGGAACTGAATTCACATAAGGAATTCACATAAGAAAATGAGGCAGAAGCAATTCACTGCTTGTTAATCTCTCTGTATTTTCTACAAAATACTTAATTGCTAGCTACAATTTCCATATTCCTAAGGTTTTATTTCAAATAATCACAGTACATCACTATGCATATTTTAATGGTAATGAAGAAAAATAAGAAGAATCAGTTTCCCAAATATTTTTTGTTTCATATATTCTTGGTATCATCCTTCCAGATATTATTTCCTGGGAATAACAGTACTTTTCTCACTTAGCGGAATAAATTTCCTGCGGCATCTCATAATTACAGTATCTGAGCCAAAATAGAGCTTGCCTGCTGCTGATTCTTCTAAAAACTTTGTCAGCAATTGTATTTGCACATTATTTTTAGTTTCAGTATGCAGAATATTTGATGTTTGGATTGGAAACTGAGGAACACAAGGGTCATTGAGACCAAACTCCCATGGTTCTCACTGAAAATACAGTAAATGTCTTCTGTAAACATACCTCATCTAGAGATAAGGTTTTGTGTCCTCACTGATGGAAGGCTGTTGTAGAAACTCACTTTATAAATCTTCTTTCAATTCCTAAATAAAGTTTACTCAAAACCCGTTTACACCCTTTCAGGAACATGGACTATCAGAAATGTTCAGAGTATCTCAGGTTTGATTTCACCAGCTACCAAAGAGATCCGATCAGCTCTTCCTCTCTATACTGTTAAATATCCCATTGCTGTCACTCTGAGCCCCCAATTTCTTTTTTGAGACCGCCCCTGTCCTTGTCCCTCCCACTGACAATGCCTCCTCATTGTACCATCCTGTTTTAACCAGCACACTCCAACTTTTTACCATCAAAGTTAAATTTAATACCAAATATGGCAAGTCCCAAGACCTAGGACTTCCTACCATCCCACTAACTGATTTTTCAGCAGAGACAATGCCAGGTAGGTTTGGAAGTCCTTATTCATCCTCACAAATGCTGCGTTAATGCCTATGTTCAAGAATTTAAGTAATAATTTCCCCTGTAGTGCTACATCAAATGTTTTTCTGAAGACGACTGATGTATTAATTTTATGACAATTCTCTTGTTGAAAATAAAAATATAAGGTTAATTTGCAAATAGTTGTCTTTCTAAATCTGTATTGGATTTTATCCAATTTTCAATTAAATCCACACCCTTAAATATAATCTCCCGCCAAAGTTTGTTTCAAAGCCTTGAGTGTGGCTGAGGTCAAGCAGCCTCTCTGTTGATATAGATCATTTTTACCCCATAAATTCTGTGGTTTATATTTACAAGGCAGAATCTCTCTTTTGATAGATTCAACAAGAATTTTATTACCCGAGCTGCAACTTCATATGGCC